TCAATTTAAAGAAATCAACTCCACATCCAAATTAAATTAAATAGCCCTCTAGTGGAAGAGTAAAAACACTCACTGCTGCTAAAAAAAATCCCATGATTCTGCCCTTCCATGTGCATTTTATATCCACCCTTTTTTTAACATTGATCTAAAACACACTGAACTCAATTTAAATATGGTGGATTTTTTCAGTAATTTAATTGCATCCTAAAATTGTCATGCTGAATTCTTACTGAAACAAAGCAAGAATTGCTGAATAGCTGAGTCCAAGACTAAAGTCTTAACAAGAATCTTTATATGAATTATGAAGAAACAAAGCACATGTACACAGATAGCCACAGCAAACTCTTTTTTCCTGTTTCTCTTGAGTACAGAGGTTTGGGATAGGAAGAAAAAAAAACACATATACAGGCATAACCATGACAGATGTTCTTTCAATGCAAAGGGCTTCAATATGGAGTGGGGGGAGAATAGGCTCCTCAACTCTTCCTTGTGACTTCTATTTACGCTCAGGGCTGTTCATCAGCTCTGTGCTCTGAGAGACCCTTGATAGCGTATGTGATAACTACTTTAAAAAGCATAAGAACAAATGAAGCTAAGCGTATGTTTGTCTGATATGATATATTGCCATCGCTACCCCCTTACCAAATGTAGAGTGGAAATAGCGGTGACTATCTAGATATTTACCTACTTACAAACTTCATACAGTTGTTGTGAAAAATGGTACATCAAAGCTGAGGGAATACTTTTTCACCTTTCATATAAAAACAAATAACTGTTGTGGCTGCACTAACTTCTACTAATCCTTGTTTTAAAAACATAATTTTAAACAAAAAAAATACATTCTAGATGTATTTATTTATTTTTCTTCTGTATGAAAAGCTTGAAAAGCTTCTCCAGATAATTATATAGACTGGTTGAGGGACATGGGTGTTTGAGGCCAAGCAAGACTTGTTAATAAATCAGCCTCCTAATGTTTCCTGTCTGTGGTCTTTTAGCCTGTTGACTGGTTGTGTTGATTCAACCAAGCCTTTCCCCTGCCATTTCCCTCTTTTGGATTGTGAGAACTCATTCAAATAAAGAGGCGTTTCATAAAGTCTGAACATGGAGAAAAATCAGGAATGCAACACAGAATGCTTTTGTTCACTTCTGCATTGGGATCAAAAGAGAGCAGCAGCAATGAGAACCCCTTATTAGTGTAAGTCAGGAAGGGCGTTGGCAGAAATAAATACCTGGATTAAAGAAGGAGCATGAAGGAATGTAAATTCTTCATGACAAGCAAGTAGCTGACAGTACTGGGGCTGCCATTATTGGGGCAGGCTTTGTCCCTAGTACTCAGAATTTGGGGTTCATTCTGTGTCTCAGGCTTTGGTCCTGAAATCTAAGAGAATTGGAGGCTGCTGACCTGGCAACCCTTATTTAGTTTTGGAATTCAACCCTCATTTGGTTTTGCAGATCACCCAGAAATACAATTTCCCCCCTTGCACCCTTGCTTTAGAAAGCACAAGCAAAATCCTGTTGCTTAGTCTAATAAATTGCATTAGAATAGGCCCATTGAATCAATGGGAATTTAGTGAGCCAACAAGTTCCATAGATTCAAATGGTCTTCCTCTAACTGTGACCTACTATGCTAAAACAACTCAGAGTTAGAGTAGACCCATTTGAATCAATGGAACTTATGGAGGAGTTGACTCACTAGACCTCCATTGATTCCATAGGTTTAATCTAGTGCCTTCTCAGCCACACCAGACGCTGTTCCAAGACCTCCGTACAGAGCATGATACCATAGTCTCTCGAGACTGAAGGATGCCTACTACAATCTAGTGCAATTTACTACACTAAGGAACAGGATTTTGGTCACAATTTCTTTTCATTTCAATAAGGCACTTGCTTCCTATTGTGTGGTGTAACCCTCAGTCTGCAATTGTCTTCCAAAAGACCCTGGCAGACAGGTCTTTGGCAGCACTCTGTCATTAGCTTTTAAACTCATGAACGTGTCTCCACACTATTTGTCTGTTATACACACACAACATTTTGCAATTACTGTATTGCTGAAAGGTCTGAACCCTATGATAGGTGCACACTAATGCTAAATGCTCTCCCAAGGATATATCCTCAGGTCTCAGATATTAGTACTAAGATACTCAGGCATGGGATGCTCCTGTGGGGCTGGGATGGTCATTAGCCAGACTGAAGTGGTCGCCTCACGCAACAAAGTGCTTGAGGAAGTCGCAAAGCTACAGTTATCCACTTACCACCATGTGATCTCCTGCTGCCCAAGCTTCCTCTGTCACAGTGCAGGAACACATATGGGAAAGGGAAGGAGAGGACAAAGAACCGGATAATGATAGTGGCAGCCATGGCAGCAGTTGTTTTGAATTGCCACCGTTTGCCTAGTCACCTTTGGAGCATCGGTACCATGTGGCTAGTTCTTCAAGGCCAAGACATTAGGCTGGTGTGTGGACTTGGTCTTCAAATGCTTGGCTTCAGAGACTTAGCTGCACAGCAGCTGTGCTCCAAATGCACCTGTGCAGTCAGTGGCAGTTCAAACAACCTGCCCTCAATGTTGCAAGTGCCACTGCCATCATCTTCTAGTTCCCTCTTGCTCCTCCTGTAAGTGTTCTCATGCGGCACTGATGGTAGGGCATGGGCAGCTGAAGCAGGAGCAGCAAATAGCACACAGGCAGTGTTTCCCCCCCCCCCATCTCGTGTGAGAACCACTATGTAGCTGGTTCAGTAAGCAGGCTTATTCAGTATTATTCACTACAATTCACTGTGGGTTGCTGTTGCACCTACTGCCGTTACAAATGTATGAATTTGACTTCAATTTCTAACTAAGGCCTTGTTTGGAAATAATTTATGAAGACATGTTACAAAGGGAGTGGGTTAGCAAGTGGTTCTATGTTGTAGCGTTTATACGTTATGCACCATCAAGTTGCATCTAACTTAACAACCCTAATAAGGATTGAAAGATAAGTGAAATATCTAAGGAGTGGTTTTACTAGTGTTGGGCTGGCTGGACAGTTCACTGCGGCAGGTTTCTGGCTGTGAAAGCAGAGGTTAAGAGTCTGAGTCCCCATCATCCCCCTGGGAGAAGAGTCAACCCATGTAGTCTGGTGCAAGCTGCACAGTCCCAGAAATACCCCAAGAACAGTTAGTTAGTTATATGTCATCAGATCCAAACTGATTTACAGCGACTCTGATAGGGCTTTCAAATGAGATACAGTATTTAAGGAGTGGTTTTACCAGTTTCACTGGGAGCAGTGAGTCATCATCATCATCAATTATCAGTGCTATCCCTGAGTGATTTCCCATGGACTGAGCATGGATTTCAGTCTTGATCCATGACTGAGTTTATCATGTTCACTACACCAAATTAGGGCAATAGATATAAAGAGTGTATCAGCATGTCCATGTTTTAACTGAGGGGGTGGAGTTAATCTGTGGTCTAAATTTCCTAGTTGTGGGGATCAGCTTCAACTATAGCCTTTTTCCTTTGAACTCAGTGTTTCTTCTCTTTGGACAATGTTCCTGTTTTTTAAAATAGAGGAATACATGGACATCAATAATAGGAAAGGAAGTCTACCTTTAGGAAAGAATTCAAGGAATTCTAAGGCCACTATATAAACAAAGTATGGCATCAACAGCAAGAAAAGCTAGTGCCATTGGAGAAAGGTTGGGTAAAAGGCCACTGCAAGTTTTTAAAAAGAGACAGGACTGAGAAAACAAAACTGCAGCATCAGTGAATAGCTAAAATGTAAAAGCTGTTAAAAGGAAATGAAAAAAAAAGTCATCACCAGTATCAGTTCTTATGAGGGAGATAACATGGAAACTGCTCATCAGCCGTCAGTATACGGTGGCTTAGGCAAAATTTAAATCCTGAGGTCCTGTGCAGATTTACTCAGAGTCAACTCTTTCTGGACTGGTATGTGCTGGAATATTTTGTGCAGCTGGCTTTTTTTTATTTATTTATTGTGAAATAGGATCAGAGGATCATTGTTGGTCTCAGCTAGCAGAAGCTATGCAGCTGGATTTGGGCCTGAGAATCCAGAGTACAGCATATGTGTCTTGAGAGTGTACTGTAAGCAAGCATATTTTGCTTCATTGCACACTACAATTCCTGATCCCATGGAGGTCTCTCAAGGCATTAGCCCTAGCTTCAAACTTCCTGGCTTTGTGGAGCATGAGCTGCAACAAGGAAATATACTCTGGTTTTCAGTGGATAGGTTTTTGTGTGTGCTTTATTTTTAAGTTTTTTTGTTCTTGCTCATCAAATGTTTTGCCATGATTCACTTCTGGCATTCAGTACTAAATGCATATATAACGCATTTCTGTGATTTGTGCAATTTCTGTTGTGACCATAGAAAAGGCATACCTTAATATTTTAAACATATTTTCTGATTAAACCTGAGCAGTATATGTTCACCAATACATTGAGCTGTTTGTAAAAAAATGCAACACCATATGAAGTCCTCCAGACAACCTGTTTTAAACAGGATAATGACTTTGCCAGTCATGGCAACTTCTTCTCAGCACGATTTAACCTTTTCAAAAACTGACCAATAAGTCACTTCTATTTGTGCTGGATAGTTTCTGTAACATTGTATGTGTTGGTGACAGCATAATTGTATGCACAGTTATTCAAAGTCCTAGTGGATATCCTGAAGTTCACACCCAGGTGAGTGGGCACTGGGTTGTTGTCAAAGAAAATGTAAGCTTCTTTTGACTTGGAAGTCCACTAATGAGAAATAACTGTGCTTGATGGAGGGGGTGAGCATTGCAGGGAACATACAGAAACAGAACAGTAGTGACAGGATAGTTAGAAGAAACACTGATGATGGTGAAGAGGACAGCTTATGGGTTTGGACGGAGTGTAAAAGAATATATATTTCCTTTTCCCCCCCCAAAATCTACAGGGATTGTTCACGTGATACATTCTGTCCAGGACTTGAACAATAGCTTTTAAAATGTTTTTTTATTATTATTTTTCATATTTTCCTTACCTGCAAGTAGAGGAGGTGTATTTATTGCAGGTGTGTTTTTCCTTCTCGGTTTTTTCTCCTCTTGCTCTGCATTTTGAAATGCCAGATGCATGTTGGTTTTTGGTGAATTATCAGAGGGGTCACACCTCCTAATTAAGTGGTCTGAAAGAATGCCTGCACAAATCCCACAAGAAATGGAAGTCAGATCTCATACTACACCATCATGATTTTTTGCATCTGTGTGGGGTGATAATGGTGAGAGGTAAAAGAAAAACCCATCACAAGAATTAAAAACTCCCATCTTTGGTCCAGCGCTGCGTAGTTTTTATGCAAAGTGGATTTCATTAGGAGTCACAGTTCGGGTCTAGATATACTAGATAGGATGTTTTTTAAAAAATGTTCTTATTAAAGCTTATTGGGGTAAAATATAACACATGTAGAGATGGGAATATTTGCATTTGTATATGAATATCCCATATAGCTGGACCTAATGAGAATCCGGCCCCTGGGACCGGACTGTCCACTCATGTATCTTGCGGTGGTACCAATCCTGCTCATCCTTCCAATGGCACCTGGAGCTCTACTCTCTTGCTGCCAGGCAGGGAGCAGGAAGACTGGCACCACAGCAGGACATATGAGTGGAAGGTCCAATCCCAGGGGCCAGTCTCTCATTAGGTCCAGCTGTACAGGGATATTTGTATTCATGTAAGGATATGACCTGCTCATCCTTCCAATGGCACCTGGAGCTGTACTCTCTTCCTGCCAGGCAGGGAGCAGGAAGACCGGCACTGCAGCAGGACATATGAGCGGATGGTCCGATCCCAGGGGCCAGACTCTCATTAGATCCAGCTGCACAGGGATATTTGTATTCATGTAAGAATATGAATATCCCCATCTCTAAACATTTGTCTTCCTCCTTCTCAAATAATCCTTTTTGCCTTGTCTCCAAGAAACTGGTAGCATAACAAGGCAAAAGAGATTAGAGGAGATTGGTTTGCATAAAATATAAATACGTGTTGAGACCTCTGAGCTCTGCCTGCCTAGTTGGCCCTGCCCGTGGAACAAACAGCACTTCCGAGAATGCTACCTTTATTACATCCTTACTTTAAACTGGACCTGGAGAAATATAGCATATACAGCTATTAATTATGAGCCCACTGTCTGCTGTTTACATAAAGTTAGAAGCAGATGTTTAATTTAAGGAGGGGTGCTAATGCTGGGTGTGATGATATTTCAAGAGGTGGCCGCTCAGTTAGGTGTGCTCTTATGAGCTCCACTTTCCCTCACTGAGCTCCAGCAGCCATAGCTAGTCGGAATAGTGAGCACAAGAGCAAGCATTACAGGTAGGCAGCACAGGGGATAACACAACACTGAATCAGTGCTGAGTGGCTTGTACTTATTTATGTATTCATTCATTCATTCATTCATTCATTCATTCATTCATTCATTCATTCATTCATTCATTCATTCATTCATTTTGTTGTACCAATCACATTAATTTCCCATAATGCCCTTGAATAACACTGTATCAGGAGCATTGTAGGAATTTAAAATTGCATGTCCTGAACTTAATTGCTTTAAAAAGGGAAGCAAGGTATGCGTTAATTGCAGTCTTTTGTTATAATGCCTTATCTTGTTAATAGGTCTGGCAAAACTGGTATGATCATTCAAGGAGTAAGTCTGATGACAGTTATATCTTTCAGTTTAAACCCCAGAACCTAAAAAAAACCACATTGTAATAAACATGCTATTAAAAATATATATCCCATGTTATAAATGTAGACAACAGTATTAGTACTGAATGAGTGACTAGTACTGTACATAGTCTAGAGAGCTGTCTGGCACTGTACGTGTGGGGTTCTAAACATCATGCATCTGTGCACTGCTGTTTCAGTTGACATTTCCTTGGGCTGCAACCCTCCTGCTCCTTAACCCCATGTTATAAATGTAGACAACAGTATTAATACTGAATGAGTATTAAAAACAACAACAAAAACCCCCCAAAGATCTTCTTTTTTCTTGACTAGTACATAGTCTAGAGAGCTGTCTGGTACTGTACGTGTGGGGTTCTGAACATCATGCATCTGTGCACTGCTGTTTCAGTTGACATTTCCTTGGGCTGCAACCCTCCTACTCCTTAACATTTCAAAGCTATCTATCTATCTATCTGTCCGTCTGTCCGTCCGTCCGTCCGTCTATCTATTTTCATTGTTGCTTTCTTTTTTAAGAGGAAGGCTGGTATATTTCTATATCTATCTATCTATCTATCTATTATCATTGTTTCTTTCTTTTTTAAGTGGAAGGCTGTTATATTTCTCAGCTTTCACAGAGAGAACTCCCAGGTGTCTAGCAGAGGTAGAAGCTAAATAAGGAGAGGCAGGGAGCATCCTAAGTTTAGAGAGATCATCCTGGGAGGAGAAGATGTGATACTGAGAAGCAAGAGAGTGTTTTTACTATGGTGTACATGTATGTGTTGCCTGGCTTTATTCATCCTTCTTTTTTGTGTATGCATTGTATATAATATTCTATGAGGATAATCAGTTAGCCTCTGAGAAATTGATATTTTTCTTGTGATATTTCAAGAGTAGCTTTATGTTTTAGAGTTCAGATCTCATCTTTTTTTACTTTGCGTTTAGTTCTTGCTTTTCTTTTATGCTCACTAGTGCACTCTTTGGGAAATGAGTGTCGAAAAGCTGACTGTGCATAATCTATAGGCATTTTGTGAATGGACAGCCTCTCCTGTCAGCCGTGTTTAGACAGCATCAGCAATGTTCTGAAAATTCCAGATGTGCCAGCTAGATCAAAAAGATTGGGAGCTGTTATATATTCCATGGTGTCAGAGGCCCTTAGTGGCATACAAGGAAATACAGGGTATACCTTACAATGCATAGGGTGGTTTCAAGCCTCTGGATTGAAAAATCTTGCTACAAATATGAAGATAATTGATTGAAAAAGCATTGATGTTTGTCCACTGTACTTATTCAGTTTGAGGTCCGTGCAACTATCAGTGGTTCCATGTGTAGTAGCGAATGTGAGATCAGTAACACTAACCTGCTATAGGTGGCGGAGTGTGTATTGCTGGTGTATCTTTCCTCTTTGGTTTTTTTTGGTCCAGCTCACTTTTCTGAGAGACTTGAATAGCTTTCCCCTTTCTTGGTATCTTTTTGAGTTCACAGCTTTTCAACAGTTGTTCAGAAAGGTCATCTACATTAAAAAAACACACATAATAATTATGTAAAAAACATACAATAATGATATTTGGACAGCAACTTTCTCACAAAATTTAACACTTCCCCGAAAATAAAGCATGGCCTTCTCCAACCAGATGTGTTGAACTATATGTCCTATCACCCCTAGTTGGCTGGGATTGATGGGAATTGTTATCCATATTTGGAAAGCATCTGACTGGGGGAAACTGAGCGGACAACTATATTGATAAATAATACAGGAAATATTCTGAGATTAGGATAGTCAGATTCATATTATTTGCTGTTGACTTCATAGCATGCAGGTTAATGTAAATCAGCCTGGCATCTCTACCTAATCTGTACTTTCCCCCTCCATCTCTGGGGCTTCTACTTTTTTTTCCCTAATTGAATGCATTTTTATCAGTTCAGACAGTGTGATCACTTGAGTTGAATCAGCTTCATGGCTCAGAAGCTGGCTATCCTAGCTTCCTTGTTCAAGATTGGGAGAGAGAAAACAAAGGGACACTTGTATGATTGTCACTTCCCTTCTATTGAGCACCCCTTGTCTCCAAACTGTTTATTTTTTTAAAACGTTTTGATTCCAGGACTTGTGCACTATATCACGGAGGGGGGAGGTTTGTAAGAGGAAATTGCAACCAGACCTTGTTTACAAGACCACTGGTAGAAGTCCATTTGCTCTAACTGACTATATGAGAATCAGATACAAAGACACCTAGTCCTAGTTTGCAGCTTATTAAGGTAGCTTAACTTTAGCTGGCCTCCTGCAAATCTGGATGGCTACAACAGAGCTACCTTAACAAGCCAGAAACAAAAGTTCATTGCCAATTTTCTCCTCTATCTGCTGACTCCTGTGTGGTGGACTGAAGTAAATTCAGCCAGGGAAACTCAACTTTCTGCATGTCAATTCATAGTGGATCAATTTGCATTTTTCCACTGTGTAGTTGCACTCTCATATAGCTTAAAATAACTTACATCCAATGAAAGTAAGCAGTGATGAGACCACCAATGAAGTTGGGTTTAGGGGAAGCAAGTTAGCTCACAACTCTAGGAATGTGTTTGTGACAGTAATGATGGTTCCTATTTCAGACTCCTTATTTTACATCATTATTTTATCTCTTTATTACAGAGCTGTGACTTTACCAAATCAGACACAAACATTTGCTGAATATGCTCTTATATTTGCTTGTGGTTTTGGTACAGTCACAGCTCTTTACAAAGCTGAGGTAAAATAAGGACTCCAAAATATGAACATTGCGAAGGGCAAAACCATCTAAGTCGAAATGCCTCCTGACATGGGACAGAAGGAAACATGCTGCTACTCTCTATAGAAAGAAAGAAAGAAAGAAAGAAAGAAAGAAAGAAAGAAAGAAAGAAAGAAAGAAAGAAAGAAAGAAAGAAAATTAGCAAAGAAATTTTATTTTTTTTCCTTGCCAACATTAATGTAAAATTTGGAAGCTTGTTTTTGGAAGAGAACAGAATAAAGTTTTATGTTTCCTTTATTCTTTTGTTCTTCTTTTGTGAATTTCTGCCAATGCAGAAAGAAAGAAAGAAAGAAAGAAAGCATGTACCTTCTATCGATAGAAAGAAAGAAAGAAAGAGAAAGAAAGAAAGAAAGAAAGAAAGAAAGAAAGAAAGAAAGAAAGAAAGAAAGAAAGAAAGAAAATAAATTAGCAAAGAAATTTTATTTTTTTTTCCTTGCCAACATTAATGTAAAATTTGGAAGCTTGTTTTTGGAAGAGAACAGAATAAAGTTTTATGTTTCCTTTATTCTTTTGTTCTTCTTTTGTGAATTTCTGCCAATGCAGAAAGAAAGAAAGAAAGAAAGAAAGAAAGAAAGAAAGAAAGAAAGAAAGAAAGAAAGAAAGAAAGAAAGAAAGAAAGAAAGAAAGAAAGAAAATAAATTAGCAAAGAAATTTTATTTTTTTTTCCTTGCCAACATTAATGTAAAATTTGGAAGCTTGTTTTTGGAAGAGAACAGAATAAAGTTTTATGTTTCCTTTATTCTTTTGTTCTTCTTTTGTGAATTTATGCCAATGCAGAGAGAAAGAAAGAAAGAAAGAAAGAAAGAAAGAAAGAAAGAAAGAAAGAAAGAAAGAAAGAAAGAAAGAAAGAAAGAAAGAAAGAAAGAAAGAAAGAAAAGAGTCCCCAACCTCACCCATTGTGTTGCCATCTGGCATCACATGTGTCACCAGAAGGCACAGTCTATCAGGTTTCATGAAGAGCAGTTGTTCTGCTGAGGGGTAGGGAATGGGAAAGGGAGGGGGAGGGGAGGCTTCAGACAGAACTTGGTGATGTAAGAAAGACAGTTTCTTTCACAGCAGACACTGACATCACCTCCATAAGACTGACCTAAGTGGTTACAGTGAGCATCTCGTCCATCCCGTCGGTCTTCTGAGATATCATGAGACGCCTGCACATATTCAGTTGACATAACTGAAGATATTTTTCTTCAGAAGCTGTGAGAGACAACATAATAGATGGTGTGTAGACCATGGAGCTATTTGTGTCACATGCTAACCTATGAGTTTTGGCGTTAATATAGGAACCTTTTGTTTTCTTTCATGCACTCACTGACTAATTCTGGTTTGGGTTTTTTGTTTTGTTTTGACACAACCATATACAAGGATTGTTTTGTATAAAAATGCAAGAGCAAAACCAATAATTACAATGTAGGGAACATTTTACTCATATATAGGATGCTTTGGCAACTGAAAGGAAGATGTCAGGAAGAACCACTAACACTTTCAGGTATTTGAAAACATATTCTGACTTCAGGTTGTAGGGCAAAACTTGTGGCCCCATAAACTGAACACAGCTAGGGACTCATATTTTATGGTCTGCCGGGTTCCTGGCAAACTCACTGTTTGCAGGTCTAAGTGGGCAGTGCTCACCCAAAACATTTTGCAGCCTGAGGTGGGTCATCAAATGGTGTCTAGTCTGCTGGTATTTAAGAATGGCAGAGAAGTTGCTATACCCAGCCAAGACTTTTTGGCACACAAGTATACTAAAAGCACCTTTCCTCCTCCTTGTCCATAAAAATAAAATGAGAACAAAATAAATAGCATGGTTGCATTGCTTCATGGCACCCATAACACTGCATTTCAGAAGACTACCTCATTATGCCCGATGACAGTAAGCACACTAAAGAAACAGGAGGTTTAACTAGTTCAGTGCTGGCATCCGCTTAGGCCGAAGTGACTTGACCTTAAGCATCCCCCTGACCATTTCTCCTCCATGTGCTATAGATCTTATCTTGCACACCTTGAATCAATCTGTTGTCCTGCCATGCCACCAGTATTACAGTAAAATTCAGCTGCCTGTTTCACTTGGTTCTGTTTGTAAAACAGACATAGAGAAAGAATCTTGCCTCTTGCATCTGGTAGCAAAAATTATGGCATAACTCTGATACAAGCCCTAACAGGCCTTAATTTATGGCTGGTCAACTGCATTTGGTTTAGTCCTGTGGAAATAGTCTTTGTATTTAATCTCATTTTGCCTTTCTATTTATTCCTTTCTCATAATAATCCCTCCCAAATCCACTCATCTGAGAATTTTGTGGTTTGCTCACTGCACCTTCTTGTAAGAGGAAGTTTAATGGGAGGTTTCCCTGCCCACCCCCACCCCAGCCTGATGACTACATGCTTGTGGCCACAATTTGATCTATGGATCAGCACTATGGCTATAAGATTTCTTTTTGGAAAGGGTTCTGTTTCTTTAAAAAGTAGATGGATAAGAAATGTTATGGTTGTAGTTCCTCTCATGTAGTATTTACTATACACCTTTAAATGTCATCAGCCTAAGAAAATGGTCTTATCTCCGAGTTGTGTTATTCATAATATTTCATCACTAATTCTGAATGGCTAAAATCTTGTTGCTTCGTGTAGTTGGGCCACCACCTCTTCTCTCGACCCTTGCCTGGCCTGGCTAATCAAGGCAGCCAGGCCCGTAACAACTGAATGGGCCACTGCAATAATTAATGGGTCTCTTCAGGAGGGCAAGGTACCCCTTGCCCTCAAGGAGACACTCATTAGGCCCATTAGGAAGAAACCAAATTTGGTGACGGACAACATTGGCAATTATAGGCCCGTCGCCGATGTTTCTTTCCCTAGCAAAGTGGTTGAGAGGGTGGTGGCAGATCAGCTCCAGGCGCTCTTGGATGAAACCAACGCCCTGGACCCATTCCAGTCGGGCTTCAGGCCGTGCTATGGTACAGTGCTGGTCGTGCTGATGGATGACCTGCTGAGGGAGGCCGATGGGGGCAATATGTCCTCGTTGGTCCTCCTTGACATCTTGACAGCCTTTGATACCGTCGACCATGGTATCTTCCTGGGGAGGCTTTCTGAGTTGGGAATTGGTGGCCTGGCGCTTGCCTGGCTCCATTCCTTCTTGGAGGACCATCCCCAGAGAGTTCAGCTTGGGGAGAGTGTCTCGGCCTGTGGAGTCTGAACTGTGGGGTTCCACAGGGGTCGATCATCTCTCCAATGCTGTTTAACATCTATATGAGGCCGCTAGGTGGGGTCATCAGGGGGTGTGGGGCATCATGTCACCAGTATGCTGATGACACATAGCAATACATCTCCTTTTCATCTACCTCAGTGGATGCCGTCTTGTCCCTTCAGCGCTGCCTGGAGACTGTATTGGAATGGATGCAGTCGAATGGGTTGAGGCTGAATCCGAACAAGACAGAGGTCTTGAGGGTGGGAGGTCCTTCCATCAGCGGCATAGGTAACTCCCTTTCTTTTGGGGGGACGACCCTTGCTGCAAAGAGTGAGGTTCGCAGCTTGGGGCTACATCTGGACCCGGCGCTTACCATGGAAACCCAGGTGGCGTCCGTGGTCCGCTCCGCCTATTTTTATCTATGGCGGATTGCCCAGCTGCGACCCTATCTTGATGGGGGGGGGCCTCATTACTCTAATCCACACGCTCGTAATCTCAAGATTAGATCATTATAATGCACTCTATGTGAGGCTACCTTTGGGGCTGACACGGAAACTTCAGATGGTCCAGAATGCGGCAGCCAGGCTTCTTAGTGGGGTGAGAAAACACCAACATATCTCCCCCAATCTGGCTGCTCTGCACTGGTTGCCCGTCCTTTTCCGTGTTGACTTCAAAGTGTTAATGATTACATATAAAGCCCTAAACAGTTTGGGACCTCAAAATCTGGCAGATCGTCTTCTCCCACCCAGATCTACCCAAATCACTCTACATAGCCGCAGGGACGGCTGAGGGATCTGACGCCAAGGGAGGCCCGGAAGGAAAAAACAAGAAATCGGGCCTTCTTGGCACCTCGGCTGTGGAACACCCTCCCTACTGAAATTCGGCTGGCACTCTCGCTGGGCATTTTCAAAAGCCAGTTGAAAACTTGGCTCTTCAAGCAGGCCTTTCCTTCAGTCAGTTAAGTGAGTCTTATTTTTTTTTTCTTTTGATTTATGCCACCTGGAACTATTTATTTTAAATTAATTGTTAAATATTTTAAATTGTTTTTAACATATATGTTGTGAGCCGCCCAGAGTAGACTATGTCTAGATGGGCAGCATATAAATAAATAAATAAATAAATAAATAAATAAATAAATAAATAAATAGTCTGTCACATTAGAGTGGTCCCAGGTTATCACTGAGGATTTGGTGAGTCAACTCCCCCATACATTCCATATATTCAAATAGACCTATTCTAGTCATCACTTGTTGCACTAGAGTAACCTGCACATAGAGTATTATTAGTTTATTATTAGTAGAAGTTTTATTCATATGCCACATTTGTCCCAATAAGGGACCCAAAGAGTCTCACAACATTAACATTCACACAATTAAAAACACATAAGTTAAATATTAAAGGATAAAATAAACAATATATGGTTTAAAATACAATTTAAAGATTAAAAAAAATGAAAACATTAAAAAGATTAAAATTATCTGCTAAAACGGGGTTCAGGGATTCAGTTATAATTGTTAAAAGCCTGCCTGAAGAGATGGGTCTTTAGCTTTTTTCAGAAGGATGAAAGGGAAGAGGCCATCATGATCTTCTGGAGGAGAGAGTTCCATAGCCTGGGAGCTGCCACAGAGAAGTCCCTCTTCTGTGTCCCCATCAGCTGTGCTTGTGCTGGCAATGAGACTGAGAGGAGAGCCTCCTCTGTTGATCTTAATCGCCGTGAAGGTGCATGTAGGGAGTAGACTTGTTTGAATCAATGGAACCTATAGATGAGTTGACTTACACAATCCCGAGGATTCAATGGGAGCAGCTTACTAAGTGAAACAACAGGATTTCAGCTAGTGTATAACTAAAGAAATCTCCACCCCACCCAAGGGTTAGACCAGTGGTTCTTAACCTTTGTTACTCAGATGTTTTTGAACTGCAACTCCCAGAAACCCCAGCCAGCACAGTTGGTGGTGAAGGCTTCTGGGAGTTGCAGTCCAAAACTCCTGAGTAACCCAAGGTTAAGAACCAGTGGGTTAGACGAATGAACATATCCACGAAGCATGGAGTTTCTTCCAAAATGGGCCATCTGTAGTCTTTACTCCATCACAAAAGTCACTTTGTGTACTTTCTGTGGACTTTCAGCACCTGATATAGCCTATGATTTAGTGCAATAATTTCTTAAGTAATTCTTTCAGTAAATATTTAACTAAATAATTGTTAATACCTTAATAAGAGGTTTATCAACTGATGCACTAATGCAAAGTCCAAAAGATCAAAGGGCTTTTGATTATTCAGGATTGTACCATGTTTCCCAAAGTCTGCCCACTGTGTATCAAACTTTTACAAGAAGTGCAATACTTCAGTTTTAACCCTTCATTCTTGGATATATTTAGTATATGCTTTTATTCTTGGGAGTTCAATGGCAGTCTAGAGCAGTGGTCTCCAACCTTGGGTCTCCAGATGTTCTTAGACTTCAACTCCCAGAAATCCTGGCCAGCAGAGGTGGTGGTGAAGGCTTCTGGGAGTTGTAGTCCAAGAACATCTGGAGGCCCAAGGTTGGGGACCATGGGTCTAGAGGACACTGAAAAGATAACACAGTGAGACTGATTTCAGTGGCAGGCTTGAGAAGAGTAAGGAACATGTGACATTGGCAGAACCCAAGATCCTATGTTCTTCTACAAATATATCCCTATTCTTTTCTGTGACATCCAAAATTACTCCCAGAGTTTTGTGTACATTTCCCCTACTTTTTTCATAATCATTTTCCTTTTCCTCATTGTCCAGCTTTAGGAAGTTACCGTCAAGAGTGGAAAACTGGCAGGTGGAGAAGATCAAGTGACTGAATAGCTAAGATAGTATTAATTCCACCACGTGGCACTTTAGCATCTAGAGCAGAGGTGGGCACGAAGTAGGTTGCTACCAACTGACAGTTTGGGGGAGCCTAAAGTCTATCAGTAAAGCTTTTTATTCCCAGATATTTAACAATAAAAGCATCAAAATACTTCCCCAGTTCTTTTTTATTGAGGAAAGCTTGTAG